ATGCTGTCTATGCAGTATTCTGTTTTTGTTGGGTTCTTGATCTATAATTTTTCTTATGCGCACGTGTTTACCGCGTGTAATAAACATACATACAAAATAGCCTTCCGTTCCACAGCGAGTCTGTCGCGCACGCGGCGAGCCAGACGTCTGTGCGACAAACCCGCCCCGACTTTGACGCGTAGCCGCACTCTTCCGCGTCCGTCGTTTTATTCGAGCTAGCCGCACTGTGACCTGATGCCACACCTCAGAATGCTATCCGGTAAGTTTCCTAACGATGGTGAATTCTTTTGTTTGATGTTTAATCAAAAAAGTTTTAAATGTAGTGGGTAGAGTACCTTTCGTAATCCTCCGCCCAGTAAGTTTATACTCGACGGGCATGTTTCATCCTGTCTCGCAAGATCGGTACCTTCTTCACATGCGGAGTCCAACAATGCACGCAAGCAACAAATCGATGCCGTTCTAAAATTGACCTGATGATTTTTATGGTCACAATCAATAATCAATAATAACCGCACTGATCTCAGGAAACAGAAGTTTCGTTTGAAAGAAATTGCTTAGTTTCCTGGTATTCCTTTTTCAGTGGACGTAAAAGTGGACTGCTTTGCTTTGATAGGCCATAAATTTCGCTGCTCATTAGCTAGGGGATTCCCCAGTCGATAAGCGATGGTTTTTGTGTGAATGTAGGCTGTCAATCAAATATACATTACCTCAAACATGTGGCCTTCGACCCTTCTGATTTGATGTTTGAACAGGTATGTGTCTGCTGGAAATGTCTTGCTCCACCCGCACAACAACGAGAAAGCTCATTAGCAGAAACAGCTACTGAAAAAGAAGGCTATCAGTGAAATAACTTGGGTAATGTTGATTAGTAATCCTGAAAAAGTAAGAGGGTTCGATAAGTCAATTTTGCTCATATTCTCTGCACTAGCATAGGCAAGCTGCAACGTCTTACGCATTTTTTATTAGGACACGCCACAAGCGCTAAGTATCGATCGCAGCGCGCGTCTCACACGCGGCGCGGTTGGGACTGCAATTCAAAGATCGCGTGCGACAGCACCTCTGGTGAGTTTTCAACGTCACGGCAATAGTTCCTGCACCCATTGCCTTCCAATGCGATAAATATCGAAAGTTGGAGGGATCAAGTTTTGGCAACAGCTGTGATTCATAGTTGTGTTCTGAGTCATCGTTGAGACACAGACAATCTTCTCGAGCCCTCACCATCCTCAGAGCTATTTAAGTCATAGTCATTGTGTCAATGAAAATGTTTCATACTAGTAAAAGTCCACGATAAAGTCTTCTGGCAGTAATTAGCCCCGTTGCTGGAATGCGCTCCGCATGCTGCTTTAATTCAGAACCGTGGGTTCGGTCTGAATGCGTACGTGGCCTATATAATGAATTCCGGTGCACAAGTCAGTGTTTTCATCCTCGCAAACGAGACTGGTGTCAATTAACTGAGCCCGGGAGCAATGAAAAGAGATTGGCATTGGCAGATTTCAATACGGAATTCGATCTGCTGACCTTGTGTGAATGATAATGCGCGACTTTTCACCACACCAGCTCTACCCCGACAATAAGTAGACTGCAGAAGCTATAATTTCTAACAATTATTGATCCTATTCTGCGAACGATAATTTTCACTTGATGAATTTTCTGAGTTTTTACGATATCTATAGACTGCAGACAGCAGTGAAATTGTTTGCTACTCACCTAGAAATATGCTTCCCAAAAGTAAGGCGAAAGCTGAGGCGTTTGTCTTCAACATGGAGCAGGTCGATTGGTTGGATGCGACCTTGGCCTGGAATTGAATTTATTATTACTCCTAACAAATTCATACACTTGATAGGTACTGTAAGTAGAAACTCCAAGTAAGAGGCGTCCGTATCGCAAACTACGAGCAGAAAGCACAGGGAATACACGGAAAACAAGAGGGCAAAGGATAGAAACTGTGACGAACAGAGATGAAGAATTAAGGACAAAAAGCATCTTGGTTATCAGAACCATTTTGGGATGCACTCCACACCCGAATTCCATTCAGAATCGTAGTGGTGTTTTTGAATGAGTTCGTGGTCTATACAATGACTTGAGATGATCACTTAAATGTAGAAGCTCCCCATTCGAGTCTGGCACTGATTAGCTAACACCGAAGGGATAGAAGTTTTGGTTGCTAAGACATCGAAACTTGAATCATGTTTGTATGATAGTGCGGTCTTGCCGTTACAAAGCTGAGGCGAATTTCAAAAAAACTGGAAATCAGGAACAATAGGAATACTTAAGTGGAAAAGCAACAGTCTGTCACTCAATCATAAATGAAGATGGTGTGGGAGAAGGGGAATCGGAACGAAATAGAAAAAAAAAACATAAACGCTATTCAAGGGCTCTAATGGGTAAGGTTCAGTTGAAAACACATCGAGCCGTCAAAACAACGGCTTATGTGCTGATAAACTCATAAGCACTTTAAGAATGATCCGTCCATTTCTTCGGAACACATGTCCGGAGGTCGTGTAAGTGGCCATTTACACTGCTAATAACTAAACTCAGCCAATGCTGCCTATTTTCGCTTTCAGGTAGTCTGCATCGATTCAAATTCACTTTAGCAGTTACTCCTACTCCTATAACTACCAAGGTACAACAATTACCAAATTTAAATCCAAGTAGAATACCTAATCCACATCGATCACAGAGAGTCCAAGCTATCAAATATTGGCTAGCTCATAAAAGTCATGAGATATTTTTATATCAGACAATGTTTATGTGATTTTTTCGGTCGTAATGAATCAAACAGTATCAGTGTCATGTGAACATGCGGCTGATAGCCTTAGCTTCATGCCCATGCTAGATAATAGAACTGTATGAAGGATTGAAAATCACGAATACTTTCAGCACCACACTACGTCCTAGTTACTTTTTGCAAGTTACTTTTTCAAAAAATAAATCAAAAATTACGTATCCTTAATGCAACATGTTAGTAAGAATCTTTCAAGAGATTTAGGTGTTGCCCATAAAAATGAGAGATTGTCGACCATTCTCTCTGTATTTCTAGAATCGTCGTTCTGATATATTATGCAGCACTGCTGAGGTTCTACTCGGAGAGAATGTTAACGTTGAAGAGGCTACGATAGTTTATTCAATCGAATAAAAAACCGTTTAAATCGGAAACGACTTCTCGCGAAAGAAAAATTCATCAATTCAGCAAGCAGGGTTTTAGGCTCATAGCGTTAAATGATTTTTAAGTGTCAAATTGCTTTTAACCTTTCAACACTACTTTAATGAGATATACACTCATTTATCAGTGCATCTCAAAAGGAATTATCAAAGGATGTATGATGTTCAACTCTGGTGTTTAATCAGCGAACCTTTGGTTGAGCAGTGATAATTCTTCCGGATCGATTTTTCACGAAGTCGGACCTGAGATTCGTTTGTAATATTAAGAACAAATTAAACTGGCATCCTTGCAAAGGGCGAGAATAGAGAAGCATATTGGAATCTAGCTTGGAGAATCTGTTTCACTATCGTTCAGAAAAGAATTTGGAAAAAAGAGTAAAGGAAATCAGAGAGTAAGGTGGCTAGTGGCAACAAGAAGCGGATGCCATCGAAGCGATGTTATTTGATATCTTTAGGGATAAGGAAAGCAGCTTTCGACACCTATGATTGTGAGATAATTATCAAATAATCTCATAAAATGAGTAAACAAGCTTGGCCCTGAGGCCTTGAGGAAAGCTCGAATGAAGTGTAAAGTGAGATGAAAATCGCTTCCCAGGTCCAACTGATCTAGCAGCATTTCATTTCAAGCCTTCAGTAAAACCAACATTTCTCTGAGGAGATGAACGACATTCCAATATTTGAATGGCCCAGGTCTAATATATGCCCGGACACTTTAACCTTTTCATTCTAATCCTGTATAAACTGTGTGATTGCCTGTCGAAGGTAATGTTTTGGAGTTGATCATCCAGAGAGTTGAGTATCCTCCCATTTCTGTCACCTTCCACTGCTCCAAATTCATCCAATTTTTCGAATACAGAACGTAGAAGAAATATGATCCATTTGCCATGAAGTCCAATGATCGAATGCTGATCCAGTCCGCTCGTCCCACCACTGCATGGGGCTAGAGAAATTCCCCCTTACTTCATGTTGCCGTACATCCTAAGGCACGAGGGATGTGATTTGGTAAAAAACGTAGACTGCCAGGCCAAAATTATTGATAGGCACCGGGAAAAGGATTAGCTTGTCGGCAAAACGGTGCTGATTGTTGTGTTGCATTGTTCTCGTAGCGATAACAAGTCACTACTATCAGATTAGCAATCTTCTCCCAAAAACACAGAGTACTGGAAATTGTTGACAATCAAGAATCGAGCTCTTTGATTCTTTCTCAAAGAGCTTTCGTTGGAACTGAACTAAGGAGCTGATTTTCGATACAAGTCGCTCTAGAGGTTGATTACTAGGTACTCAGGTACTACATGATTGTCATTCCTTTAGCTCCATACACTTCACCCAATACACCCTGTAATATGGTTTTCAATCAAGCGACACTACTGCAGGAAGACGAGATCCATCGAGTCAAAGCATTTCGAGGACCAAACAGTCACCCAGCTTTTCTGAAAATCCTTGAGGACGTTCTTAAGACGGTCCAGGAAATGGCAGTTTTACCGTATGCACGATGTATGGATGGAACCTCGTGCAAACTTCTTTAAGTCTGTCCCTCAGGCTCCCTGAAGATAAAATTACTGGTTTACGAGTAACATGCCTTTGAAAGTCTAACAATGTTTGCGGTTTGTGGACAAAATGGGTCTTGACAAGTTCTATAACAGCCGTAGTTAATCCTCACTCACATTCTATGCAATGATTTCAGAAAAGTTCGAAAAATAAAAGAAAGGAACACCATTCCTACCGTCTGAAATTCTTTCGTCAATGAACAACAAGCTGTGGTACCTCAGCCGAACTTGTATTTACACCAACCACTTTTCGCCATTCTTGGACAAGCTTGAGGCTGGATTGGCAGGGGGTAGAGAATGCCTAACATCGGAGAATCTAGTTTGGAGTTCTGCGCCTACCTTCTGGTGCTCGCCCTCGTGCCACGTGTTATTCTATATAGGATCGTCTACTGTTCGTTTCCGTCCATAGCTAATCCTACACATCCAGCAAAAGAAACAAAGCCAATGGTATTCAAATGCTTTTTCAAAATATATTCCCAAAACATCTGTCGTATATTTTACTTTTTGCTTCTTTTTTGTGCTTTTCTTCGCCTTATGCTGGCCTCTTGAGTTTCTTTGGTTCCTCGTCTTTGGACTATTGCGTGGGGATTCAGATTCATGTATTCAAATACCTCTGGATTAACAACTCCTATTTTGAAATTTTCAATTATAATGAAAGGAGATATTGAAACTGGACCTCATTAACAGGAGGATTCTGGTAGTTAGAGGAGAGCGCGTGAGCGGAGGCGAGAAACATGATATTTGATAAGTGTCTCGAACCCACGATAAAAAATCCTTCTGTTTACAACGAGGTGAACGCAAGTGGGAGTCTTATTCATGATGCTATTCAAAAGCTGCTTCTTTCAAGAAATGCAATCCAATTCAGATACATTCAGATAGACTTTTTACTTTAATATTTTTGCTGGTGTGGATACAGTTATTCTACATTCACAATCAGCAGGTGTTTCCTTCAAAAATGCATAGAGAAATCACTTAAAAGTAACACTTTCAAGAAGAAAGAGCCGGATGCTGGAACTCTCTCATATTCATGAGAAGTGGCTGTTCGTTTTGCTCTCAGAGATTATAAAGACTCCCTGGAATAAGCTAAAAAGGAAAAGCGTTCGGGTGTTAAACAATCCCGTCTCAGGGATGCGCCCCACACTCGACTTCTATTCAGAATCGTAGCATCGTTGAATGCTCGTGAGGCCTATATAATGACTTACGGTGGCCTGAATACGTGCAATTCAGTATTTTTATCCTTCCAAACGAGTCTGGTACCAATTAGCCGACCTTGTAAGAATGAAGGGCTTCGTGCTTAGGTGGATATTGATCAAGGATTCGGAACCGTGGGTACGATAGAGTATGATAGAGCGCCATTTGCTACTACACCACCTACACCTTAAAACAAGCATGGATGAGAAGAAGCAATGGCTTCTGTCTGAGGAGCTGAAGCCACTGCTTTCTCTATGTAATTTATGACCTGCTTTGGCCTTCATGTCCTTTTCTATTCTCCAGAATCGAGCGAAAAAACTTAATTCAAAGTTCAAAGACAGGCGAAATAATCAGTTTTAATACAACCCAATACCATATCCATGCAAAAGGCACTGAGAGAGTGTCGGATTCGAGTAAACAAATTGAAGGCGACAACCTTGGTGATACAATAGAGTAACACCTATCGTTACACTTTCTTACTTAGTCATTGAAATCAGTCCAAAAAACTCTACGGTTATTTAAAAAGAGATGGAAAGTAGCGTTTATGGCACTATAATAATCTGAATCAGAGGAATGAGCTGTCAGTTAGCAGGTGATCATCAATGAGAATTTCAGCGTTGATTTGGGAAACCTTTTATGAAGATCAAGGCTGGGATGCAACAGAAGAAACGAAATGGGAACGGATTCGTGAGCAACTAAGTGTCACGGGGGATGGTTTCCTGACTTGATTATCTCCGGTGTCGAATGACATTTTCAGATATCATTGCGTAATGTTTACATATCGAATCACCGGCTAGCCGTGAAAGAGAAGGGAAGAAATTACTTGATAATGAACACACTTCACTGATAACACTTCTCTCCGAAACAATTCGTACAGCCCACCAGCTAGGTTCAT